AGAATGATCCAATGAGCCAAAAATCTTCCAAGATTATCCCACAAACGCTATACAAAATTCTGGGTTATCCCATATTTCCAAGCATGATATAACACGTCCCAGGGCCATCCATGGGCAATCACTCATAGAGAAAGAAAGGACCATATAGTGTAGTATTTCAAGTAAAAATTGATCCAGGCTTTAATAAATATACTTAAATCAAAATAACATTATTCTCAGAAGCTGCTCGAGAGATCATGTTATGGGAATACATGCGTTCTTAATGTCATTACTTATTTAGAGTAAGAGTATTCACTCTAGCCACATAGAAGTGTTTACGGAATGTTCACGGAGAAGTGTTCATATAGAAATGTTCACATAGTGCTTCACTATTTCACGTGTTTTCACAAATTCTCACATATTGGTTATTTATGTATATATGGTTTTGACCATTGGATAATTGAGGATAATACACTATCTAGTTTTTGTTTTATTTTTTGGAGGTATACGGTGGAAATGGACCATATTTTGGTATTATTACACTGAAGAAAAACTTGGGAAGATTCACTGACACTAAGAGGATTTATTATTTAATTTATATCATAAACCCATTACGCTCATAAAACAAAAATAAAGTAAATTATTCCATAATGCCCATCTGTTTCAGTTTCAGTTTTTTAACACAAAACGTCCTCAAGCAGACCATGCACTTGCCACCACCAACTACATTGAAATTATCCCATCGGAGAGATTCACCTCTGTTTGTTCTGAGAACATCTGTTCTGGCAACAGCTGTCGAAGAAAGGATTTCTCTCACTGTGTATTTTTCCTCTTATTTCCTGTTTTGTCTGCAGAACAAAAAGTACATGGAAATCTCAAAAAGAAACAAAAAAAGGAATCTGTGTTATAATCTGTCCCTAATCAATCTAAAACTGAAATAGAACGTTTTTGCTGTAGAGAATTATCGATTTCTAATATTGTCCTACCAGTTAAGACCACTTGGTGGCACTGCTGGTCTTCTGGGGATCTTTTTTCTTTTTTTATTATTATTATTATTATTATTATTATAGGTTCTTGTATAGCACCATCAATTTAGGCAGTGCTTTACATATATATATATATATATATATATATAGCACATTCACATCAGTCCCTAACCCTCAAGGGGCATACAATCTAATGTCCCTAAACTTACAGTCATACATATACATACTAGGGCCACTTTAGACAGGAGCCAAAGTGTGGGAGGAAACCCACACAGACAAAGGGAGAATATGCAAACTCCAGGCAGGTGGTGCCGTGGTTGGGATTCAAACCAATGAACCTATTACCGTCAGGCGGAAGTGCTAACCATTTAGCCACTGGGCTGCCCATTATTTATGAACTGTAATATAGGGAGGATGGTGTTGTATGTGTTATGGGAGGTGATGTTTTCCTGTATTTCAGATCGATGCAATCACAAGTTAATATTATCAGTTTTCAATAGATTTGGCCTTTATTGTAACACTGTTAGTAGATATTAAAGGAAATCTGTGCTTAAAGACATATATAGGCTGATCCAAGGGCATTTATAGTTTACCTATAGTCCTATGAATTCTTTATAGTTGGCCTTTCACTCTTAGAGTCTGTCCTGTATCATGTTTGGCCTCACCCTGAGAAGTTATTTTCTCCCTCAGAGCATTTTGCTCAGCAATATCCTGTCAAGGAGAGCTTCATACATATTGGAAGTCCCTGTAGTGGACCCTGCCATCTCTTGCCCTAACAAGATTTTTACTGTCTCTGTAGAGGATAATCCTGTGTTCTAGGCCCCAGTGGATAAAAGGTTACAGACCCTCTTTAAGGTTTTTTTTCTGTTTTTACAGACCCTACCATGCAGCCTGTGGTTGCTTTTATAGCAGTTTGCCAGACCATTCTCGACTCAGTACTTGGCCCAATATCCTGGTTCCATCTTTATGGATCCTTCCATACATCGACAATTAGAGCTTTTACCTGTGGCAACATGGTACTGCATGAATGCTCCGCTCGTTCTTCAGTATGTGCCTTTTTTCCAACCATGTGCAAAGGATTCTTTAGATTAAATGCTGGTCTGCTGAACTCCCATGCATTTTTAGAGCACTTGCCGTTTAACCCTTTCGCTGCCAGATTTTTTTTGCGATTTTTTTTTTTTGTTTTTTTGCACACGTTTTAAAAAAATTTCAGGCCTGAAGATTGCATAAACCTCAAAACATATATTTTCTGAAAGGAAACACAGAAATAGGGCCCATCCCCTCATGAACATTAAAACAAATATTACACTTTGGTATTAATATTCCACAGTAATTAGATAATGAGGTAAAGCTGACATTAAAGTAATCTCATCATGCAGGAGCCTCCAAGAGGACTTGCCAACAGACAAACAATAGGTGACGCAATTAAAGGATAAGTTCACCTTTGGGAACATGTTACATGTTCCACCAGTTTTTAGGGTGGAACATGTAACATGTTCCCATAGCCGCAGCCACCTCCCACTGCCCCCCCTTTCTGGAGAAATTTCCCTGTACTATCTGTCAGATTTTAAAACAGCGTGGCCATGCGGGGCTCCACCTACACAGTTGCATTATTCATTCATGGACTTCCATGAATAAATGAACTGCAAGTCCCAACAGCCTTAGTGGCTGTCGGCTTGTAGTTTTTAATGAACTACCGTGGTGCTGTGAAGCGCCGTGGTAGTTCATTTAAGCTTCCTGTCAGAATATCTGCTTGCTCGTACATCCTGTACGACAAGCAGATATTCTGACAGGCCTGCTGGAGACCTACATGGTATCAGCAATCTAGTGATCGCCGGTGCAATGCTTTACAGGTTGTAGACAACAAAATATGCATTTATTATTTTTGTCTAAAACTGTGATCTTATCCTTTAGCTTCATTAACAATGGGAATGCACTCCTAGGAGGAACACAATGGGAGAAGGTAGTAAACACATAACACCTTAATAAACGGATTATAGCAAGAGTCCTGAGCATGAGGTTGTTTTGCTGATTATATCAACATCTTCTTAGAGTCTCTGGGTCTAGGAAGGAGACAGAGACCCCAAATCTGTATCTTGATCCTCCAGTTCTTAGAATTTGTGTGTTTTGGGGAGAGATGGACTTGAATCTGAAGTAAGCTACTCCAAAGGTACCCCCCCAGGCACACACCAAAGAATAGAGCCCCCTCAGATGCTAGGGCCATGGTCCGTATGCAATAGGCTAACCTGCAGCCCCCCCCAAAAGCCCCTGCCCTGATGGGTCTGACACAGGAGCATTGCCACTTCAAGGGTTCTATTTGAACCTACAGAATAAGAGTTCAGCTCATTCCATATCTAAAACCCCTTAATCTGTTCCTGTGGATTCAAATGTTTTGCATAGATTAGCCAGGTCAGTCATTCCCACATTCTGGGGGATTTTCTGGCTTCATTTGAAATCCAGTATACTAACTTGTACATTCTCATCTGTCCCCCTTATCTCTGTTTTTTTTTGTGCTTGAGTAGGATTGCCAGTTTTTCATCTTTTGTTTGGTCTGATTATGCCCCCGGGTTCCCCCCAAAGGTGCTTGCCCCAGTCTTAGTTCTGTTCCGTTTTTAGAGGATACACAGTGTGTTACCTAATATGATCAGTCCTCCCTCCTCCTGTCTACCATGTCCTTGGTGGTAAAAACACATTTACAAATTACAAGAGTTTTTGTGTGCTTTCAGAAAGCGCATCAAACCCGCTGGATATAATAGAGGCTTAGTGCAGCTAACCCGCAGGTGCACTGCACTGCACCTACAGATTAGTGTGAAAGCAGGCTAATAGTTGTTAACCCTTTTGTAAGTGCTAATGTGCCCATTGCAAAAGCACACTGTATGTGTTGCTAATAATACTAACGTTTTTTCCTTCCTCCAGCTTCTGCTGGCATCACTTTCCAAACTGCTGGAAAAGATCCCAGGCAAAGATCAGTTGGTATCACACTGCTTGGAACAGAAGCTGGTGCTACAGAGGAAGCGACGACTTAGGCGGCTCCTGCCCTCTCCGCAGCGGCCAGCTTCCTCCGCTACCAGCCCCGGCTTGATGCACAATGATTCTCTGGAATGGTGGGTCAGCTAGCCCAGATCATGATCAAGAGGTTGCTGACCCTGGACATGCACTTACCTGGTTTGAGGTTGAGGGCTACAAGGGCCACATGTTAAGCACCCCTGGTCTAAAGGATAGGGTTTCTTTTCTTTTCTGTTAAGGCTCACTCTAATGTTTTTTGTGCGGCTTTTTAGCATCAGGCATCTGTTTCTCAGAATTGCAATGCTGCCACCTGGTCTTCTGTTCACACTTTTGTTGAGTTTTACCAGGTGAATGTGCAGGACTTTCTTGATGCCATTTTCCAGTGTGAGGTGCTAAAGGCTGCTCTCTCTGAATCTGTTGACCTTTCTTAACAAGGAATTTTTGGCTTTTGTTTGCTCTGGTCCTGTGCTCCAGGAAATGGAGCATGATCCTATTTTTTCAGTCAGAAATAGAGGTAAAATCTTCAAATGAGAACACTTGTTTCTTTGACAACCGTGTAAAAGAGGATTTCCCTGTCTTTGGAGAGACCTTCTCTTACTTCGTGCTGTGTTGCCAGACCAGAAGTTAAGAATAATTGCAAAAAGGAGTAAAAACACCTATTGTACTTACTGCACGTAGATCTCTTGCGCTGGTTTATCTTTGTTTTTTTTTCTTTGCAAGAAGTTAAGAATAAATTCCCCAATAGGACTCGTGATTTGTGAGTTTTACTATTCCCTACACTTGTCTGTGCCACTAATATCCAAGTATTCAGATCAGCAGTTTTAACTTTTCATCTAATTTCATTGGCTACTTGCTTGTTGCAGATAATTAAAGGCAGAAACATTCCAGGCAATTTCCATTTCCTGAAAGAAGTCAACTATGGAAGATTGTATTTCTTTCAGCTCGGATTTCCTTTAACATTTAATAATATTGTATGTTGTAAATCATATTTTTATTGTGACTGAGTAGCATTGTATAGGTCATGGATCAATGTTTTTATGTGCATCTATATTCTTCCTGCAGAAGGATCACCTGGAGCTGATTAAAGCTCTCATAGTTTTCGGGGCCAATGTGGAGCAGCCAAACGACTTTGGGGAGACACCAGGACTCCTGGCAGCCCGGTCCAGCAAAGGTGTTAAACCTCACATTCTGAAGTGGTAGTTTCCCTCTGGAAGGAAATGAGTGGAAGGAAGAATGCTCCTGGAGCATGTTTAACATACACCTTTCTTTATATTTTGTTATATATTTGTCAGCCTTTGCTTCACATACACACAGGTCATTGCAAATAGAATATCATAATCCTATACCTGTATATGGTATTATATAATAATGTTTCTTTAAGTATGACAAGGAAAGTAATAATGCAAAAGTGAATTGTGAAAAATAGTAAAACACAGATGAAAGGGGCAAAGTAAAATAAATAAATAAATATATATACACAGTATCTCACAGAAGTGAGTACACCCCTCACGTTTTTGTAAATATTGTATTTTGTCTTTTCATGTGACAACACTGAAGAAATGACACTTTGCTACAATGTAAAGTACTGAGTGTACAGCTTGTATAACAGTGTAAATTTGCTGTCCAGTCTAAATAACTCAACACACAGCCATTAATGTCTAAACCTCTGGCAACAAAAGTGAGTACACCCCAAAGTGAAAATGTCAATATTTTGTGTGGCTACCATTATTTTCTAGCACTCCCTTAAGCCTCTTGGGTATGGAGTTCCCCAGAGCTACACAGGTTGTCACTGGAGTCCTCTTCCACTCCTTCATGACGACATCACAGAGCTGGTGGATGTTAGAGACCTTGTGCTCCTCCACCTTCCATTTGATGATGCCCCACAGATGCTCAGTAGGGTTTATGTCTGGAGACATGCTTCGCCAGTCCATCACCTTTACCCTCAGCTTCTTTAGCAAGGCAGTGGTCGTCTTGGAGAGGTGTGTTTGGGGTCGTTACCATGTTGGAATACTGCCCTGCGGCCCAGTCTCTGAAGGGAGGGGATCATGCTCTGCTTCAGTATGTCACAGTACATGTTGGCATTCATGGTTCCCTCAATGAACTGTAGCTCCCCAGTGCCAGCAGCTCTAATGCAGCTCCAAACCATGACACTCCCACCACCATGCTTGACTGTAGGCAAGACAAACTTGTATTTATACTCACCTGGTTGCCAGCACACACGCTTGACACCATCTGAACCAAATAAATATATATATATATATATATATATATATATATATATATATATATATATATATATATATATATATATAATGATTGGTGGCTTCCGACTACTTGAAATGTTATAATTGATGTACAAAATAATGTGCCTTATTTGAAATGCATACAGTATGAGTGGAGTAGTTGCCAAGAGCAGCTTTATAGATGTGGCAAAACTCTCAGCATTTATAGTTCCATTTAAAAACTAGTGGCAATGTTGGGGGTTTTTTTTGTTTTTTCTTTTAAATAAAAGGCCCATAGGGGTTGATTTACTAAAATTGGAGAGTGCAAAATCTGTTGTAGCTGTGCATGGTAGCCAATCAGCTTCTAACTTCAGCTTCTTCAATTAAGCTTTCACAAAAAGACTGGAAGCTGATTGGTTTCTATGTAGAGCTGCACCACATTTTGCACTCTCCAGTTTAAGTAAATCAACCCCATTGTGTCTTGTTTGCACAAGGTATGCCAGTACACGGGATTCAGTTTTACATTGTTCAGTTCAGTGTTAGCGCTACAGCTGAATTAAACTGCTTCTATTTTGCTAATTCATCCTCCAGCAAATGATGCCTGTTTTTTCCCCTCCCCCTTTAAAGGATCTAATCGCAAGGTGCTGCTTGACATGCTTTATAACGTAGGAGCACAGCGCTGTTTTCCCCCTGATACCCAGCTTCCTTCAGGTGCCTCCTGCTCCATAGCAGCGCAACCCATGGACGCAAGTAGCGGCATAGGTAATCTGCCCTTCCTCCTGCAAACAAGATATTCTCTACTTCATCTCATTTTTGGAGCTCTTTATGGACAATAATAAGAAATATGGTAAAAGTTGAATGATAAAATTTGATTGATGGTTATAGGCTTTTTTTTTTATAATGCCCTGAGCTCCAAAAGAGTGAATGAAGTCCCAGCTAGATTCTTATTTTTTTCACTTTTCCTTGTGCAAAGCCTTCCGTTTTCTGTGTAAATTTCCACAGCTCCTTTTTTTTCTCCAGGTGTCACCCTATTTTCTTCAGTCTGAAATATTGGAATCATTTCTTTTCTTGCGCTCACATTCCTTCTTATTTCTGTGATCTGTGTGCGAAGAAGTGTGTATGTATATGAGGTTTGATGCAATGATTAACTATTTTGCTTAAAGGTGAATTTTAACCAAGTCTTTGTCAACATTTTGGATAGAGCGTGTAAGGGCTAAAACTCCCATTGAAGAGTTTTTCCCTCAGGAAGGGAACATGACAGTTGTCCTTTGGAAAAAGTATCCCCATTGGCAGGTTACATCTCTTTTTCTGTTCTGATGACTTCTCAGACTATTAGAATTGCCCTCACGTTTTTTTGTCTAATTACAGTGTAACCAGGACAAAAAATTAAAGTGAATCTTTGGAACAGAAGCTCAGCTTTAAGAACCTGACAAATCCTATAGCCCTTCCATTTTCTGCTGAAACAAAAAAAAAAAAAAAACTTTTTGCCAGAGTTCCTCTTTGAGGTGTCTATATACCAGCCATTGTTGGTTGTGTTATGCATGCATAAAGGAAATATAGTTTTGCAATTTATTTCTTTGTTATGTTGAGGACCAAAATATAGGTTTAAAAAGTAACTTTTTTGCCAAGTAAATATAAAGTGTTACATATACATATGTCATATTTACATTTCCAGCAGAAAGAGCTCTGCCCTTTTTTATGTTTACCTGGCTAGTTTTAGCTGCTTTGATAAAGAAAGATTGTTTACAGATTGTAATAGCTCAGGCTCACATTTATACATATACATACAGTATAGTGACTCATCCTCCCTTTCTTCCTGCCCCATGAAGACTGCTGTATAGAGATTTAATTACATAGTTAGTTTGGCTGAAAAAAGGCAAAAGTCCATCCAGTTCAACCATTAAAAAAAGTTATAATCCTACACCCACAGTTGATCCAGAGGATTCCATAAGAATTAGAGAGTCTTAAACAAAATAGATTATGCTGTACTGTCTTTTCAGAAAATCCATAGTGCTCTGTGACACCAATTTCATGTGTGCCCACTGTGCTAAATGTTAGGTTTCAGGTGAAAAAGGTTTTTTGTTTTTTTTAATTAAGGGTTAGATTTAAGGGTTAATACTATGGGCTGGAGGAAGTGTTGGGGCTTGGATGAGGGAGGTGTTAAATGTAAGCTCCAAGGAGCAGGGCCCTCCTAACCCTCTTGTATTGAACTGTATTGTTGCTTTATCATCTCCCATTATATTGTAAAGCGCTGAGCAAACTGTTGGTGCTGTATAATAATAATAATAATAATGTTAGAACTAGTCTAAAGATCTGGAACTGGTATTGCAGGATCTCTTTTTTTTTAACACTTGTTTTTGATTTGAAAGCCCCTTGTTAAGAACCCACAGGTGCCCAGTTCTTGGTGCTTAAAAACCATCTTTTATTCATTTTTATTTTAATTTAATTATATTTAATTAAAGAACTGTTCAGATGTGCCTGCTCCATTGAATAGTACAGGTATAAGATTGTTATAGATACACATACTGGACCTAATTTATCACAGAGTTTGAAAAGAGAACTATTCTTTCTGCTGTTGGATAGCAACAAGATTCTTGCTAATATTTTTGTAGCAGGAGGTTTGACTTTGTTCTATGAATATCAAAAGCAGTCCTTTATTCAGATACGTTTATAATTTATGGCTAAATTGATTAAAAACTAACAAATTAAACATTGTGACTCCTTGTCCCATGAGAGGACAATGAAGTACAAAAGGGCCACACTCAAGTATCGGCATGAGAAACCAAAAATTCCCCCCACTTCACTCTACTGCTGTGCAGGAAATCCAAGCATTGTGTCACACATTGCTGTCAAAAAGCAAATTGATTTTGGCATTCTATCAATTAAATGTGTATTTTTATCTGTGTGGCCAACATTGCTGTCCAGCTAGTGATCCCCAGTAGCATACAATTCTCCATGCTTTTAGTTGCAGTCACTGATGTGAACATTCTCCATCCATATCCTTTAGTACCCAGCACCCCTTGAGAGGCTTGACCATCAATTTTAATAGACTGATCTAGACTAGTCTTAACTGGCTCTCAATAAAATTTTATGAAAGGAGTGTTTGAGTTTGAATGAATGTGTGCGCCCCTTCTGCTTTCTTCCTGTTTGTTGCTAAAATAGCTCTTGACCTTTGTAAATGTATTTGTTTTAGATGGTGTTTTCTTTATTGTCTTATAACTTTACCATGAAATAAACTAACTTGTAATTCTTACCCAGGATTCCAGGATATGATCTATGTGTCCACTGCACTAGGCAGCATACTGGCATCACGTGACACTGTGGATTTCATGGAAGATGGTCTAAGAGTGTAAGTCATCCAACAACTTTATAATATCCTGCAGAATCCAGGGTCTTATGTTAAAAGAAAAAAAAAAAGGGAACACAGAGATGTTACCAACAGATGCTTACTGTTTGCTTGCACTGGAAAATGTGTCAAGAACAACTTGGTGGTGTGGACAGCTCTTCAATTTTTTTCCCTTCAATTTTCATACCTACAAACCAGCATTCCCTAGAGAATAAACTATATAAAGTTCTCTTAGTTTATAAAAGAAGCTATGGCATTTTTCGAAGACAGTAAAACGAGCTCTGCAGTCACTTTTGCAGCAGTTGTATTCTTATTCTGGGTTACAATCGTGCGCAATGTCCCTTTGTGTCTTTCGGTCAGTTGACTGCGCTTATACTTATCAGACGGCATTTTCCCAGAAACTGTATATGCCTTCATAACCTTGATACTGTACCTCGCAGCACCTTGCCAAATAAACTGGCAACGTCAGTCACAGAGCTAAGAGGGCACCAACAATTTACCCTCTTTTGAAGCTCAGTAAGCTCTGACATGACTCTATTAGCCGCAGCGCACGCAGTGAATGACAAAAGTAAGGCTTCCCACCTGTTAGGTTTCTCATCACATGGCAGAAGCAAAGAATGTTACATCACTTTCGCTTTCAACATGAAACATGTCATCACTTTCACACCTGCAAATCGTAGTATTCTATGATCTTTTAATTGTTATAATGTACTATAGACTAAAGGAATCAGAAATCTACAGACAAGTATGTGTGGTCAGTAGCTTGAATTTTTTTTTAAATAACAAAGATATCATACTTGCCTGCTCTGTGCAATGGTTTTTCACAGAGCGGCCCTGAACCTTCTCTTCTGGATTCCTCCGATAGCAATTTTTGCTCTTCTTCTTCTCCTAGTGCCTCCATAGCAAGCTGCTTGATATGGGGCACTGATGTGGGCTCAATCTTGAGCTGAGCTGTGTCCATCTATAGACACATACAGCATGGTTTGGCACCCCTCCCTCCACTCCCTCCTCACATTTAACTAACAGTAGCAGGAGCTAATGGCTCCCGCTGCTGCCAAGTCTCCTATGAGAAGGGACAGAAAGGAGAAGGGCTGCTGCAGACGAGCACAGCACAAGATCAAAACCGGGCTCAGGTAAATGTTTAAGGGGGTGAGGCTTGGGAGAGAAACTGCAGAGAATGCATTAAGGTAAAAAAAATGTTTGCCTCTATAACAACTTTAATAAGGCAGCTCCAAATGTTGAGTTTCTGGCATTATGGTATGCTATGCATGTTGTAATTGACCAGCTTTATGGCAGAGCTCTTAACTTGACTTTTCTTTCCTGCAGACATAACAGGCTCCTATGCTTGGATGGAGGTGGCATCCGTGGACTGGTTCTCATTCAGTTGCTTATTGCCATAGAGAAGATTGCAGGGCGACCCATCCGGGAACTCTTTGACTGGGTCTCTGGTACCAGCACAGGAGGTATTTTGGCACTGGCCATAGTGCATGGTAAGTTATAGTATAACTGCAGCTAAACAGGGAAGCATGCAGAAAGAAAAAAAAAAAACACACACACACTTACACACACACACTTATTTTGATTCCACAATTCTATTTTGTGTCTTGAAAGGAAAATCCATGGAATACCTCCGTTGTTTATATTTCCGCATGAAGAATGAAGTTTTCTGTGGTACACGCCCATATGAGTCTGCCCCACTGGAGGAGTTTCTTAAAAAAGAATTTGGAGAACAAACAAAGATGACAGATGTGACGCACCCTAAGTGAGTTTTCCAGTTTATTATATGCTATGCTTTTACTGTATATGTCTGCTGTTCTCTTGTTTCTTTCCTGATTTCTTCAATAAGGGCCTGTTCACCCCAGAATCGCACAGGAACACTGTACACTTTCCTGTGTGTTCCCCTGCAGTGCGATTTTCCAGCCCATTCATTTGAATGGACTAAGATTGCACTGAATTGCACAAAAAGTAGCGCATGCACAACTCTTGAAAAATGCACCACACTACATTACCTGGTATTCTGGTATCTTCGGATCTGGTGCACGCAAATTCACTGCGTTAACTATCTGCTTTTGGGGTACTATTAACACGGTTTTGACACCTGCAGTATATCGCAAAAGCAGCAGTGAAGAGTACACACACGGAATGTGCCTTTCCCGCACCGCGTTCTGGTGTGAAGCGACCCTAAAGGAAATGATTAGTGATGACCCTTTAATCCCTCCTGTATTAAATTGTGTTCTAATTGTACTCTCTGCCCTGATGTTGTAAAGCACTTTGTAAACTGTGGATGCTACATAAATCGTGTATAATAATATTAATAATAATTATGTACATATAGTATGTTCTTTAATAGGAGCAAATGTGAACTGTTGCTGTAAAAAAAAAAGATGTAGTCTTTTATTCAGCCAGCAGGTGGAAATCTCTTTTTTTTTTTTTTTTCATTTCGCTCTTTATTTTCCACATGTAAATAAAGCTTGTTAATAGATTTAGATGGGTGAAGGTGAAGTTTCAATACAGAACTGGTAGACGAAAAAGATCAGTGACTCATCCCATATCAGACAGCTTACTAGGAAGGTTTAGTGAAAGAAAATTGTGTCTGAAAGTTACTTCTGTTGTGCTATCTCTTTAGTTACTTATAGCGCTTTGTAAATAGTTTTCATGTTTTTTAACAAACTTTTAAAACAATATAACCTTAAAATATAACAATGCTGCATGTTTTTCTTGCAGTGAAAGTAAGTTCAATAAAGTAAAGAAACAGTGTTTTCCCTTCAGTGGCCCTCCAGCTGTTGCCAAACTACAAGTCCTATCATGCTTCTGCCTTTGGGAACCATGCTTGTAACTGTCAGCGTCTTGCAGTTCCTCATGGGACTTGTAGTTCCACAACAGCTGGAGGGTCACAGGTTGGGCACCCTTTTAAACCTTCTGAGTATGCCCAGGAGTTGGTGCACAGATAATGTAAATGAGCGTTACACAGTTAGGTTTATACGTTGGAAATTAAAATCATCGCTGACACACTATGAAGCATTTGTGCAATGGTCCAGGTACCTTTTTTTTTTTTTTTATTGTTGTACCCCAAAAATTGTGAAGAATAATAAATTATCAAGTACATAATAAGGTATGTGGTTTCAATATACATTTAAATTCTTTTTCTGCAATAATAACCCTCAGCATTGGTGTCAGTCACTGTAATAATAACCACCAACAATGGTGCAATGGCCACAATAATAAACCCCAATATTGGTGTCAGAAACTGCAGTAATGCCTCCAGCATTGGTGTCAGTAGCTGCAGTAATAACAGTCACATTGGTGTTTAGTGGCAGTGTATTTCAAACCCCTGCATTGATGGTCAGTTGCAATGCTCTTAACCCCCTCCCAGCATTGATGGTCAGTTGCAATGCTGTTAACCCCCACCCCACACTGGTTGTCAGTGGCAGATTTACCAGATCACATGCTCCAGCAAAGCTCACCCTAATTACTGCAGGCCGGGAGATCAATCTACCTGACGGTGCTGGCTTCATTTTAGTGTCAGATGCGGAAACACAGAAAGTACCCCAATAGCCGCCATCCCACTGCTACTGTGCAAAATACTCCACCGGTGGATGGACCCTGCCCAGAATGTAGTGGGATGCACAGAAAGCTGGCTGGCTGCACTCCTTGTGCACCAGAGTCATGGACAAGACTACACTTGTTCACATTATTAAAACAATTAATTAATTAAAACAAACCTAATTAATGTATAGCCTGCTGGTCATAGTACAGCTTGGGATGGCCTAGCAGCAGGAAAAACCTCAGATGATAGACTACAGTAAAGTGTAAGTGATGTAGATGCCTTGCTTTTAGATTTAGAGTACACAAACACGATTGCTTTAATGTACTGTTCATGATTCTCTGCAGGGTCATGGTAACTAGTGCAATGTCAGATAGACATCCAGCTGAATTGCATCTGTTCCGAAACTATGTTCCACCCGAAACTGGCCGAGATCCAACATTCAAGAGTGTTGCCTCTTTCCGTCCTGTGACAATGCCAGAAGGTAATTGCGCAAATAAGTCTGTTGCATCATTTTTTTTTTTTTAATATTGAAATAAATTTCCACCTTGCTCTGTAACAAAACTGTAAGGCCTAGTTTACACTTGCAGTCAGGAGGCAATAAAAATAGGTTGCTGCGCAAAGGCAAAACCAAACCCCCTGTAAATGGGGCCACTCCACAACCGCCCTGCAACCTCATACAATGAATATGGATGTGGCATGGTGGTGCAGACTTTACAGGGTTAAAACGTACAATGAGGAAGCAACATACTGCCTCCCAGGTGCCTGTCAAATTCATCCTCAGGTCATCACAGAGGACAAGGGGGCACTCTTTACATCTAGAGGAAAAGAGATTTAATCTCCAACTACGGAAAGGTTTCTTCATAGTAAGAAATGTGACATGGACTCCCTCAAGAGTTGGTTCTGGCCAGCTCTGTAGATTGCTTTAAAAAGGCCTGCATTCTTTCCTAGATACACAGAATATAACTGGATACTAACATTTATAGGTAAAGTTGAACCAGGGAATGTCCGATTGCCTCTCGAGGGATCAGGAAGGAATTTTTTTCCCCTGCAGGAGCAAATTGGATCATGCTTTGCTGGGTTTTTTTTGCCATCCTCTGGATCAACTGTGGATATAGGATTATAACTTTTTTTTTTTTTTTTGTTGGTTGAACTGGAAGGACTTTTGTCTTTTTTCAGCCAGACTATGTAACTAAAAAAGTCCCCCTGCAAGGTAATGACATAATGTGCTAGTATGCACTGCATACTTGCACGTTATGAAAGACGTACCTTAAAATGAAGCCCTCCAGCAGTCACTGCTGACAGGGCTCCATTTTCACCTGGTCTTCCTTCCAGGTTTGTGGGCTCTGGTCGTTTGAATAGCCGAGTCATGATGACATCACTCTCGCGCATGCGCATGGGAGTCACGATCAAGGCACAGTGCTCTGGATTGACGGCATACTCGGTACAAGATATAAGTGACCATGCAGTGTTTACTACTTTTTACCACTTTAAGGGAAAAGCACTCACCAGATGGTATTGACCACTTATCCTACCATTAAGTTGGTCAAAATTTGCATTTTATCTTAATCTCTGTACTTTTTTTTTTTTTTTTTTTTTTTCTCCTCCTCCTCCTCTATGGTGCAGGCTCTCCTTTCAGTAGTAACTTACGAAAAATAAGGGAGAAGGGGCTCATATAGCATAAAACCATTTAAAACTTTATTAAAAACCTGTATAAACAGAACTCTCATTCCCCCATCCTATTTCTTCCAGTGTATTTTCAGAAAATTTAATTATCATACAAGGTTACAAGATAGAATTTCAGAGCCCCCCCCCCCCCCCTCCACACTTTATGCTCTTAAAATATTCCTTTAGGAACATGCCATAAACAAACACACTCACTCAGGTTGAATTGGATGAACCAGTGTACTGTATTTATTCAACCTCACCAACTATGTAACTATGAACAAAGGATCGCTTGCTCTCACAGGGAGTGATCATTCTTTTCAAAGGGAGAAAAGTTTCACGGTCCCTGCGTGAATCTTTTTACAGTCCCCAAGGCAAATAAAGATGTTCATCCCATTTTGGATCTCAAAGCACTGAACAAGTTTCACGTGCAAAAGTTCCTCATGGAATCTGTCTGGTCAATGTCCCTTCTCTTCATGTGGAGACTTCTGGCATTCTCTACATATCCCAGTTTTCCAGCCTCACGAACGGTTTCTGCATTTTGTGGGGGAGTACCAATATCTTTAGTTTGTAGCTCTGCTATTTGGCCTGTTTGCCAAGGTTTTGACTGCAGTCTTGTGTCTGCTGCGTACCCAGGGTATTCCACTCGTGGGCTCTCATGGGGGTTGTGGGGAAGATGTCTGGTTCCTTTTGAGGTGATACCTTTTGCCTAGTTTCAGTCAGCTGAATGTCTTGGTAACGTGGGCAGAAGAAAAAACAGTGGCTGAAATCCCAGATGGAACAGAGTTTGGAATTTGGAACTCGGAACTAGGAATTCCAAATTCCAAGTTCTTCATTCAGAATTTCAAACTCGCAACTCTGAATTTGGTATTCAAATTCTAGAATTTGGAACTTGAAATTCTGGGTTTGGAACTCGCAATTGACAACTTGAAATGCTGAATTTGCAGTTTTAAACTCAGAATTCTGAATTTAGAACTTGCAATTTTGGAGTTTGGTATTTAAAATCTGGAATTTGGAACTCAGAATTTGGAACACAGAATTTGGAACTTGCAAGGTTTCAAAGTTGGCTGCTCTTGCCTGTAAGGAACCATTCCTGGTCATTCATCTTGAGAATGTAAATTTGGAACGTGGAACTCAGAACACAGAACTTGGAATTTTGTAAATCGGAATTCATCAGCTTATTTCTCAGGCTTATGTCTTAAATGCAAGTTCTGCCATTTTCTGTAATACCTCATTCTACCAGGAGTGTTGTTGCTTTCTGGGCTATACAAGCGCAGGCTTCCGTAGCTCAAGCTGCTACTTAGTAAAAGTGTGAATCAAGGCCCACGTTCTACCAGGTGTATGTTCAGACCTCTGCAGACATGACCTTTGGTTGGAGGGTCTTGCAGGCATGAGGGTCTCATCTGTTTTGGTTTGGTTCTTTGGGATCTGTTGGCTTGTTGCCATGTTCCCCTTTCCTCCTATTCAGTGCTTTGGGACATTCCTTGTGTAATGGTTATGAAAAAGCCCTGTGTCTAGTGATGTTTGGGGAAAAATTGGATTTTTGGTTTACCTGTAAAATCCTTTTCTTGCAGTACATCACAGAACAAGAAGAACCCACATCCTATATTTTTTCATAGCTAGCAACAAAACTAAAGCTGCGCTGAGATGGGAGGGGTTATACCTTTTCTAGATGTACTCCAAGAAAAATATTTTATAGGTAAACCAAAAATCCCATTTTTTCATTCTTCAGGCTAAGAACATTTTTAGCTAGTACAGGAAATGCCTGTTGATCTTGCCATAAATGCAGTGTCCTTGTCATGTCTTGTGAGAAGAACTAAAAAAAACAATCTTATCTTTCTTGTGTAAACTGCTAATCCTGTGACCTCCATGTAATGAAAATGAATACAAGCAGACATTTTTGAAGTCCAATCTATGTGGCAAACTGGAGCTGTGACCGTAGCCACCTAGGAAGCGTGTTATTCACGGGATTATTGGGCGAAAATAAAGGCACAAAGCCCAAAAAATAAACTTAATACAGCCACTGCATCTAAGGACTAGTGAGCTGCAATATATTTTTTGTTTATTTGGGTTTGGCTACATTTTAACTTAAAAAGCTGTGCAAAGGGATGAATTACAAATTTGTATCAAGATTTGTGATTGATCGTTAAATCATTCTGTGAAGACCTTTGTTCTTTGCATCCTCATTTTTACTTACCACCTGCAGATGAAGAGGTTGAAGGAGACAAGAGTTTAGAGTTGTCCTGGCAAGGTATGACTAAAGTGTTTCAGTAGCCCCACTCTAATGTTACCCTGTTTAGTCATATGCCAGAGATGGATTGTTTTCTAATGCCACTTTAGATGTAGACAATTTCAGCTCATTTCCACTAAGTGGCTTCCATTTCTCAGACATTTTATTTAGATTATTACATTGTAGTGCAGTTCCTGCTTAATTTGATTTGTATTCAAATAGCCCATGTACTGATGATTCTATGGCTGTCTCTATCTGCCTTTATGCCACTCATTCTTTTTTTGTATGCCTCCTTCTCCTTCTTTCTTCCTCTGCTATTCTGCACACAGAGCAGCTAGTGTGGCGTGCAGCTCGTTCCAGTGGTGCCGCTCCAACATATTTTCGCCCTATGGGCCGTTTCTTGGATGGTGGGCTGCTTTCAAATAATCCCACCCTAGATGCCATGGCAGAGATCCATGACTACAATAAGTGCATGAAGCGTCAGGTGAGAATGTCTTTCTACTAGACAAAGACTTCATTCAGAGTTTTATTCACTTGGCTTACTGCATCAAGCATTGTGACATGCTAATTACATCCAGTCGGGCTTGTTTTGGCTGTTGAGAAATATGTATAATTTTGTGGTGTGAGATAATGAATCAGGTTTTACTATATTATATGTGGCTTCTTGGCTTTGTATCCAGGAAATGCTGCAAAAGGGGAATCTTTCATGTTCTATCCTTTTTAAAATATAAATAAAACATTAACAAGCAAAATTTCCCTTCTCTCTTCTTTACAGGGTCATGGTGAACAAGTTAGGAAATTAGGCATGGTGGTTTCATTGGGCACTGGAAAACCCCCCCAAATTCAGGTCAGCTCTGTTGATGTGTTCCGACCATCTAACCCATGGGAGATTATGAAGACTGTGGTCGGAGCAAGAGAACTAGGCAAGATGGTGGTGGATTGTGTATGTATCAATCAAGCAGTGCCTTTCTGTTGTATTTGATCTTCACTCTTGGAAACATAAATATTAAAATGCTTTACATATGGGTATACTCACAGTTTATCTATAGCAACTAATCAGATTAGATAGTGCAGTCAGATCAATGTAGTATGGTATCTGTTTAGTTGCTGTGGTTTACTGCATTGTTTGGTTTGTTCATTAAGTGAAACTGACATGGTCTGAAACAGGGGTCTCCAAACTTTCTAAGCAAAGGGCCAGTTTACTGTCCTTCAGGCTTTACAGGGGGCCAGACTATGGCCAGTGGGAGTAGAAAATGCCCCGGCATCAGTGCCCCATCATTGGTTTTAACAGGATGAATAGTGCTCCATTGTTGATATCAATGAGAGGAATAGTGCTCCACTGATGGTGTCAGTAGGGGGACTGGTGCCCTAAAATTGGTATCAATTGGTGGAATAGTGCCCAAGGGCCAGGTAAAGGCATGGAAAGGGCCAAATCCAGCCAATGGGCCGCAGTTTGGAGACCTCTGGTGTAAAAGATAAGCAACAAAGATAATAGTGCTAAAATGAAAGCACTTCTGTTTTGTGACAACACCCCATTTTTGAGCCATTCGAGTCTTAGACCCAGGCCACACAAAGAGACTTGACTTTTTCAAGGGATTCATGCCAAGAGGCTGTAGGGTTTCATTTTGGCTTGGAGAAAAGTAAAAGTGGTTCTAAAGATATGAGTTTTTTTTACATTAATGCATTCTCTTCATTAAGGTAAAAAACCTTCTGTGTGCAGATCCCCCAGCTCCCCCCCTTATACATACCCGATCTCGATCTAGTGTGGTTGGGGCCAAGCCACGTCATGTGTGTCATTTAACATACACAGCTTGGCTCAGGATCGAACCAGCACGAGTGCCCCCATAGTAGGTGGCTTGCCAGAGGGCACTCAGAAGGGGAGAGGAGCCAGGAGTGCCAAGGGGGGGGGGGGGGGATCCCAGAAGAGGAGGATGGGGGCTTCTCTGTGCAAAACCATTGCACAGAGCAGGTAAGTATGACATGTTTATTATTTTAAAAAAAATAAATCTTTGGAACCACTGTAGGGCTCTATTCAAAGCCTCAGCTGAAGATCTAACGGACTCCAAAGTGACACAATAATTGTTTAACAAAGATACTTGCAAGCAATACAATGTACCTATACTCTAGCACTGCTGTTTCTTTAGGGCCAGTGTTGGTCAATATGATAAATATAGATGGACTTAAGTACATGCCTTGATATGTCCAGAGGGCCGCACAATATCTTAGTTTTTGTAATATCACAATTGTTATAATGATATTAAAGTTATTAAAACAAGTGTTCTCCCCTTTTTGGGCAAACCAGTGCTCTTCTGATGGCGTAGCCACTGGGGCTCAGTGTGCAACCACTCTGCAGTCTATGTGTTGGGCATCAGGGTGTTTGGCAGTTTTTTGGTATATGGGAACTAAACATATTGTTATACTAAAATGAGAGCACTGTTAAGAAAAAATCCATTGCTTTAGACATCTGTTCTTTTTATAATCAAACACATCAATTGCATCAACTACTAATTTGTTTCCTGTTGTTCTGGCAGTGTACAGATTCTGATGGTCCAGCTGTGAATAGAGCCCGAGCATGGTGTGAAATGATAGATGTTCATTATTTCAGGTGAGCATCCTGTAGGCTGTGTATTGCTTTTTGAAACATTACTCAGATTTTAGATTTTGACTCCTTAGAACTCTCTCTCAAACAACTGCTCCGGCAGCAGCAGTGTTCTGGCAGCAGCATGATAGACTCCTCTTCTTTTGGATATAGAGAGATTGGTTGTACTACATCTCTGCCATTAGGGAGAAGCCTTGTATTTTTTCAATGAATACAAGGCTGTCTTATTCACCAAGGTCATCTGCCTCCCTCTCCAGTTTGGCCAATCAGAGGAAGCTTTGTATTCATTGATAAAAATGCATGACTTTTTCTAAATGGTGGCGATATGGTAAGGGCGACTCTCTGTATATTCAGCAGTAGAGGGGAAGTCTATTGTGCTGCTGGAAGACAGCACTGCTTATTGTACACCGCTCAAAAAATTAAAGGAACACTTTGAAAACACATAGTTACATAGTTAGTCTGGCTGAAAAAAGACAAAAGTCCATCCAGTTCAACTATTAAAAAAAAAAAAAAAAAAAAGTTATAATCCTATACCCACAGTTGATCCAGAGGAAGGCAAAAAAACAAAGCATGGTCCAATTTGTTCCTGCAGGGAAAAAAAGAGGCAATCAAATATTCCCTGGATTAACTTTACCTATGAATGTTAGTATCCAGTTATATTCTGTGTATCTAAGAAATAATCCAGGCCTTTTTTAAAGCAATCCACTGAGCTGTCCAGAACCAACTCTAACACATCAGATCTCAATGGGGAAAATATCATGCTGGATATCTATACTGATATGGACTGGGTAATGTGTTAGGAATGTAAGGATGCCCCATCTTTGATGGAAATGAAAATTATCAACCTACAGAGGACTGAATTCAAAGACACCCTGAAAACTGAAAAAATGTTGCAGCAGACTAGTTTTGGCCATTTGCTGAAATTTCATTGCAGTAACTCAAAATGGTACTAAGTAATTTGTATGGTCCCCATGTACTTGTATGCATGCCTGACAATGTCGGGGCAGGCTCCTAATGAGATGATGAATGGTGTCCTGGGGTATTTCCTCCTAGATCTGCACCAGGGCATCATTGAGCTCCTGGACAGTCTGAAGTGCAACCTGGCAGCTTCAATGGACTGAAACATGATATCCCAGAGGTGTTCTATTGGATTTAGATCAGGAAAGCATGGGGGCCTTTCAGTGGTATCAATTCCTTCATCCTCCAGGAACTGCCTGCATACTCTCACCACATGAGGCCGGGCATTGTTGTGCACCAGGAGGAACCCAGAACCCACTGCACCAGCGTAGAGTCTGACAATGGGTCCAAGGATTTCATCCCGATACCTAATGGTAGTCAGGGTGCCATTGTCTAGCCTGTAGAGGTCTGTGCGTCCCTCCATGGACATGCCTCCCAGACCATCACTGACCCTCCCCCCAAAACATGCTGAACGATGTTACAGACAGCATAACGTTCTTAACGGCTTCTCCAGACCCTTTCACGTCTCTCACATGTGCTCAAGGTAAACCTGCTCTCATCTGTGAAAGCACAGGGTGCCAGTGGCGGACCTGCCAGTTCTGGTGTTCAGTGGCAAATGCCAATCTAGCTCTATGGTGCCGGGCAGTGAGCACAGGGCCCACTAGAGGATGTCGGGCCCTCAGGCCACCCTCATGAAGTCTTTCTGATTGTTTGATCAGAGACATTCACACCAGTGGCCTGCTGGATGTCATTTTGTAGGGCTCTGTCAGTGCTCATCCTCTTCCTCCTTGCACAAAGGAGCAGATACCGGTCCTGCTGATAAGTTAAGAACCTTCTACAGTGCTGTCCAGCTCTCCTAGAGTAACTGCCTGTTTCCTGGAATCTTCTCCATGCTCTTGAGACTGTGCTTGAGACTGACCTTGCAATGGCACGTATTGATGTGCCATCCTGGAGGAGTTGGACTGCCTGTGCAATCTCTGTAGGGTCCAGGTACCGCCTCATGCTACCGGTAGTGACACTGACCCTAGCCAAATGTAAAACTGGTGAAAACAGTCAGAAAAGATGAATAGGGAAAAAAATGTCAGCGGTCTCCACCTGTAAAACCATTCCTGTTTTGGGGGTCGTCTCATTGTTGCCCATCTAGTGCACCTGTTGTTAATTTTATTAACACCAAAGCAGCTGAAACTGATTACAAACCCCCTCTGCTACTTAACTGACCAGATCAATATCCCAGGAGTTTAATTGACTTGATAGTATAGTCTGATTAAAAAGTGCTCCTTTTTTTTGAGCAGTGCATGTAGCACAAGTTACTAATTTGTATTACACATTAATTTGGTCCAAGCGGGCCTAATCAGATTATCTAAAGTGCTAGAAAACATGGAATTCTAGGGAGACAACCCATGCTCTCTGCCAGCCTAGCACAGACAGTGTGTTATTGGTAGGATTACAAGGTGAAAAGAAGCCTGAAAAAAAGAAAACTAATTCAGCCACCACCTTTAAAAAAAATATGTAAACCCTCATCTTGTAAAACAACCCATTTAGTTTAAAATAGAAATGAAAGGCAAAACATTTGTGTTTACATATAAAAACATTATAAATACCTTTTTTCCCCTCTTTATGTATTCGTTTTTTAAATAAATGATCACATACCTTGCATAAGAAACTCAGGGAGGAGAAACTGCAGCACTGTAATCTTCCCAGTGAATGGCTGTTTAGGGGGGAAAACCTGTCTGCATAAGTCTGATCACTGGAGCAGCGCAGCGAGAGAACTGACCACGCTGTGCTCTCCTGCCTGGTGTGGTCAGTTTTTAATAGGAAAGCAGAGGGACTGGCAGGAACACAAGGGATTTCACACAAAGGAAGCTATACAAAGTAAACAGGATACTTTTCATACAAGTACATAGTACAGCAGTCACACAGGAATATGAAATGTTGGGTGAAAGCATTTTCTAGGGAAACTTAAATCATCATATAAACTGATTTTCCTTCCCACACAGCTAGTAGTGTATAGTCCGATATACTTTATATCTCCTTAACAACTACAAAACCACTATTTTCTCAATTTAATTATTTTTTTCAAAACAGATTAAGCCCACACCTGCAAACAGATGTGATGCTGGATGAAGTTAGTGATGCAGTGTTAGTTAACATGCTGTGGGACACTCAAATCTATATCTACCAGCAAAGGGAAGAAATTCAGAAACTGGTCAGACTATTACTTGAACCTTGACTACAACATCTGGAAACACAATTGAAGGTATGTGTAGGCACAGCAAGGTGGTTTACTTACTTGTAAAAATCTTATATGTGAGTCTTATATAAGAGTCTTTTAGGTTTGCATAAAATTCAGCATAGTGTCTGCTTAAAGTGGTCTTAAAGGCTGAAGTTTTTTTTAACCCCCCCCCCCCCCCCCCCCCCCAGCCCTCCTAATACTTACCTGGGCCCTCTCTCGATCCAGCCATGTGCACGGGAGTCTCAGCTGTCCCAGGCTCTCTCTCCTCATTGGCTGAGACACAGCAGTGGGAGTCATTGGCTCCCATTAATGTCAATCACAGCCAGTGAGCCGATGAGGAGAGGGCGGGGCCAAGCCACCGTTCTATTTGTCCTATGGATGCATAGAGCAGGGCTTGGGAGCAACCATGCACCAGTGCCCCCATAGCAAGCCGCTTGCCATTGAGGGTACTAGTCAAGGGGGAGGCGCACTTGCAGAGGACCCAAAAAGAGGATTGGGCCTGCTGTGCAAAACTATTTCACAGAGCAGGTAAGTATGACAAGTTTGTTTTTTGTTTTGTTTTAAAGGTAAGCTTTATTATCACTTTAAAATAAGCCATGTTACAGTACTGTAATCCAGTAAAAAATATACATATGTAGCTTACTTTACTTGATTGTGTGTCAAGACAATAACACCCCCACTTTCAGGATGGTGGCATGCTCAGTTTTTTCCTTAAGTGTGTTCAATCTGAGCCAGATACATGCTGCCTCTGAACAGATATGAGAGCAATTTTGAAATACAAGGATAATCTGAGTCTATGCCTGGCCTATGCTCAAGCCTTTTCAATTTAGCAGTCACAAGGCCGGAAGAGTGGAGCAGTACCACACTACAGGATTAAAGCCAAAATCAGACCGCAACAAAAAATATTTTTAATATAGTAGGGAAAAACTAGAACCGCTGTCAGGTTTTATTGCTGTCTTGATTCTTGACAACCATTTACCGCAAACATTATTGTTGTCTTGACAACCATTCACCTTACTTCTTTTCCTGGTGTCACAACGTTAAAATATAAGATGAAATCTCTCTCGCAGTATCTGAAATTTTTCACACATTCACCACCATACTCAAAACTACACACAAACCTTTTCGCTGGAGTTGAGCTTTAGCCCTTTTGCTGTCAGAGACGTTTTTGCATTAATGCACATGTTTAAAAAATTACCGCAAAGGTCTAGGAAACTCAAAATTTCAGTTAAAAACACAGTAAAGTAAATTTTAGGGCATTCAAACGCAATAAATTACCCAAATGTTTGGTAAAACATAAAAAACAAGGTTGCACTGAGTAAATCGATACAACAATGTCAAACCTTATATTTGTGTTTGCCTGTAAAATGGCGGCAAACTTCCATAGCCTATGTTTTCTATAGGCGCCACTTCAAAAGCACCCTATAGGTAATCAGATTTGTATTACAGGAGAGGTCTGGTGCTAGAATTATTGTTGCTCTCACTCCGGCGTGCGCAGCGATATGTAACGGATATCGGAATTATGTTATGTGTGTATATGTGGGTGGGGAGGGGGGGATTTTATTTGCTTGGGAGTAACTTTTTTTTTTTTTTTTTTTTTTTTTGCTCAATTTTTTTTCTTTGCATGTGACGAGATTTTTGGTGACCCTGCATGTCTCCTCTGGGCTCCACTCAATGTATTGCAATGCAGATCGGGGGTTTGAGTGGTTAAACTGGGGTGATGCCTGCAGCTACAAGAGTCATCGCTGTATTGGTGTTTTTTTGCCGGCGATGGACTTTTTTTTTGTAAAAGGATTCCTAGCGGATGATTAGTTACTGGATCGCTTTTACAAACGGCAGAAGGGGGTCCCATCTGCTACCTTCCCAGGCTCTCCCGTCCCACCAGGGAGCCCAGGACTGCAGCCGACTGTTCCGCCAGTTGACCATAGAAATGCTGGAGGACCAGAATATCCCTGATCATCTCTATGGTCTAAGAAACGAGAAGCGATGAGTATTTTGTCACTTATGGTTTCGCTGGATGTAAACAAGCCATTACTGGCTAGGGAAAAGCATTGATTCAAACTGATCTTGCTTTGATTTGATGCTTTTAAGGGCAGAGGAGAGGTGTGGGGTCTAATAGATCCTACATCTCTCAGCAAAGAGTACCTATAGCTGCCCATGCAATCACAAGGGTTGATATTGTGATAGCAATAAAGTTGATCAAAAAAATAAATTCAAAGGTATAGTGTAAAAAAAAAAAAAAAAGATATACTAAATTTATAAAAAAAAAAATTTAAAGCACACCCACCCCCTCTTGCTTGCACGCAAAGGCGAACACATGCGACTGACTGTCCCTCACGTATATGTAAACAGCAGTCGCACCACACGTAAGATATCATCGCGAAAGTCAGATCAAGAACAATAATTCAAGCACCAGACCTGCTGTGTAAATCTAAAGTGGTAACCTGTAAAGGTTTTTAAAGCATTGCCTATGGATAATTTATTGTATGTAGTTTTCTGCCGTCCACGGTGTGTTTCAGTTTTAAAGAGTGCCATGTTTTGTATCTATTTACTCAGCATAACATCATCTTTTATATTTTACCAAAAAGTGCTATTATATTGTATTTGTGTGCACTAAAATTCATTAACGTGTATTTTTTCCAAACGTTTGTGTCTAAGAAACAGCTGCGCAAATACCGTGTGACAAAAAAAAATTGCAACCCCCACCATTTTATTCTCTAGGGCAGCGTTTTTCAACCACTGTGCCGTGGCACACTAGTGTGCCGTGAGATATTGTCTGGTGTGCCGTGGGAAAAAATTGCAATTTCATCCGTAACATGTGGCCTCGGCTCACAAATAGACCAATCATTAGAACAGCAATGGGCAAACTACGGCCCGCGGGCCGTATACGGCCCGGCGGACCTTTTAATCCGGCCCGCGGAGCGTGATACTGTCAGGATGATCTGTCCCCCTCGACGTATCTGCGCATGTGCCGGAGATCGCCGATCGGCTGCTAATGCCTGAAACTGGCACATGCGCAGATACGTCGAGGGGGACAGATCCACATAGGAGACAGATTTTCATGCTACACCGGAACGGCGAGAGAGAACGCGCGGAGCAAAGGTAAGTGAATTGACACAGAGGGGGCTTGGGGACTTAATATGGGGGATGAATTAATATGGGGGATGAATTACTATGGGGGATGAATTACTATATGGGGGATGAATTACTATAGGGGGGATGAATTACTATGGGGGATGAATTACTATATGGGGGATGAATTACTATAGGGGGATGAATTACTATAGGGGGGATGAATTACTATAGGGGGGATGAATTACTATATGGGGGATGAATTACTATATGGGGGGATGAATTACTATATAATTACTATGGGGGATGAATTACTATAGGGGGGATGAATTACTATATGGGGGGTGAATTACTATGGGGGATGAATTACTATATGGGGGATTAATTACTATATGGGGGATGAATTACTATGGGGGATGCATTACTATGGGGGATGAATTACTATATGGGGGATGAATTACTATGGGGGATGAATTACTATATGGGGGATGAATTACTATGGGGGATGAATTACTATGGGGGATTAATTACTATATGGGGGATGAATTACTATGGGGGATGAATTACTATGGGGGATGGGGGATGAATTACTATATGGGGGATTAATTACTATGGGGGATGAATTACTATATGGGGGATGAATTACTATGGGGGATGAATTACTATATGGGGGATGAATTACTATGGGGGATGAATTACTATATGGGGGATTAATTACTATGCTTACTATGGGGGAATATTACTATACTTACTATGGATGACACATACACATCATTCATCTACTCTTGGTCCGGACCCCGGGTCCAATTATAAAATACTTTATTATTTCATAATAAAGTAATTATAAAATAATTTCTTTGTGTTTGATTCCTATTCAAGAGAATTACTTTATATTCAATATAGGCACAGAGGTACATTTTTTTAACATTTTCTAATGGTGGTGTGCCTCGTGATTTTTTTCATGAAAAAAGTGTGCCTTTGCACAAAAAAGGTTGAAAAACACTGCTCTAGGGCCTTTGCTTAACCATTTCAATACTGGTCATTTTTACCCCTTCCTGCCCAATCCAATTTTCAGCTTTCAGTGTTGTTGCATTTTAAATGACAATTGCGCGGTGATGCAACACTGTACACATAAAAAATGTTTGTCGTTATTTTCACACAAATAGAGCTTTCTTTTGGTGGTATTTAATCACCACTGAGTTTTTTATTTTTGCTAAATAAACAAAAAAAAAATGTATAAAAATGCAATTTTCTTAGTTTCCGTAATTTGTTTGTAAAATTTTATTTCTTCATAAATTTAGGTCAAAATGTATTCTGCTACATTTTCTTTGGCGAAAATACCCCAAATTAGTCTACAAATGGCGTGTGTGTGTGTGTATGTATGTATGTATGTATGTATGTGTATATGTATATATATATATATATATATGTATGTATGTATGTATGTATATATATATATATGTATGTGTATATATATATATATATATATATATATATATATATATATATATATATATATATATATATATATATATATATATAAAATATCTGACAATCGATCAGTACTCATTTCTTGAGGCCTGAAGACACCAGGATAGTACAAATACACCACAAATGAGCCATTTTGGAAAATAGATAGTCAGAGGTATTTAGGAAGGGGCGGGTTTTTTTTTTGAAGTTGTAGTTTTTTGGAAAATTAAAAAAAAAAAAACCTTTTTTTTTTTTTTTTTTTTTTTTTTTTTTTTTTTACTACACATATTGTCAGTCCAGTGCAGCAGTATTTGGTGTGGCAGTGATCAGGGACACTGGTGACAATATGCAAAAAATGTAAAATTATAACATTAAATTCTTATTTTATTTTTTATTACGTTTATTTTATTTTTTTCAATTTTTTTTTCAACACACTGTGACCATAGCAATACAAT